TCTCACGACCTTGTGTATCCAGGGACATCACTTCCGTCTTTTTGACACTGATCTTTAGGCCGAATTTGCAGCATGCTTGGTGAAAAACGGTCATCAGTTGTTGCAGGCCTTCTGGGGATTCTGCAAGGAAGCACAAGTCATCGGCATACATAATTTCAGTAATAAGTGCATGCGAGACTTTGGTGCGCGCCTTAAGTCTAGCCAAATTGAAAAGACTGCCATCAGTGCGGAAGCGGATGCGGACTCCTTCGGAGACAGTATTTAGTACCTCCTTGACTACTACCGCAAAGTATAAGGCGAACAGTGTGGGCGCTAGAACGCACCCTTGTTTCACCCCACAGGTGACGGGGAAGAAATCAGACTGTTCACCGTCTACAGAGACGCAGCACTGCATATCGTCATGCAGGAGTCTCAGGAGGCGCACAAACTTCTCCGTGCACCCTAGTTTTCCTAGCACCATCTAGAGAGCTTCACGAGGCACACTGTCGAACGCTTTCTCTACGTCAACAAAGCAGAGGTACAACTGACGACCTTGTTCTCTGCTTTTTTCCTGCAGTTGACGTACCGAGAAAATAGCTTCACATGTGCCTCGGTCAGGTCGGAAGCCAAACTGGGTTTCGGGCAGAATCTTTTCTGATAAGTCCTTCAAGCGGTTTAATAGGACTCTTGCAAAGGCCTTTCCGGGGACCGATAATAACGAAATACCGCGGTACGAGTTGCAGTCAGAACGGTCACCTTTGTTCTTGTAGAGGGCACTAATGCGAGACACTTTAAAATCGTCCGGGACTCGCTCCTCCTCCCACATTCCAACAAAAAGTTTCCATACCATCGAGTGCAGCTCCGCACCGCCATATTTAAGTATTTCGCCTGGTATAAGGTCAATGCCAACCGCCCGTTTATTATCGCTGCTGCTGTCTGATGGCAGTAACAACCTCATCACACGACAGGGGCTCGTCCAGCTCGGTGGCTAGGGGGAGATCGGCTTATACAGCCATGAAAAATCTTGCCTCAGACACCAAATAAATCGCCTGTCACAGACGTATGAGGCCAATGATGATGATGATGATTGTATTGTATTGTATTATCTGCTGTGCTGCTAAGTGCCTGCCTAGCTTTGATGGCCAATGTGCCGCAGTAGTAAATGCCTGCTACGTAAATGTTCCAGGTTCGTTACCCACCCGAAGGGGCAGAAATTTGAAAATATCTGAGCGAATCTAGATGTTTTCAGCTCTAGATGTAGATAGTTATGTCCACATAGTTGCTGTGTGCTGCCGGCTTAGAATAACATCACCCCAATTCCACCCGCGGGTGTCATAAAAACCAACTGAAGAGGTATTCATCCAGGAAACGGGCAGCAGTGTTCTATGCCCCCACCAAAGTTAGTTGTAGCTTTCAAGGCCCCGGGGTCATAAGTGTAGAGTCCATATAAAAAAAAAGTGTTCTGTGAAAGTAAAAAAGTTAAACATCTTGCACTCGCTCGCCAATCCGCCTGTTAACTAAGCGTGATGAAAAAAAGGGGGAGGCCTACCTACATCCAGCAGTGGACTGTCCCCAAAAAGGGGGACGCCTACATCCAGCAGTGGACTGTTGTGGCTGTTGATAGTAGTGTTGAAGTACTTGTGCAATAAAGATATTGAAATTGAAATATGTCCACACCACCCCGATACTGGGAATCCTAGTGGGGTCTATGACTGTGTTCGTGATCATTACATACATACATATATCACGCCTCTTTCCCGGAGGGGTAGGCAGAGACTACATCCTTCCACTAGCTACGATCCTGACAAACCTCTTTCGCTTCTTCAACGTTCATCAATCTTTTCATCGGTTTAGGGTACTCTTGACCTGGAATTTATTTAAAACGTCCCCGATTTGATCTAGGTACGTCCGTGTAGGTCTTCCCCTTCCAACGTTCCCATCCACACTGATCATTTTAGCTCTATTTATCCATCATGGGTTTCTTGGGTTTCTAGATAAAAAAAAAACATGTAATATTAGTTATTAATTTTACCTCATTTAATTTGTTGATGTACGCAGGCATTACCTCGCAGTTTCTTTATTATGTGGTGTTAATCAGAATAACACATGTCATACATAACGATTTGGTTACGACCTTGTCTTTTGATGTTTTTGCTTTCTCTTACTTTACGAAACTGAACGTAAGTAAACAATATCCCACCCAAAACATAAATGTGAAAGGCTGCCAAGTTCGATAATATTGGAATGCTTCGCCTATAAAAGAAGTGAGATCTAAATAAAGTACCAAGTTCCATACACAGACCTCAGTTAAAAATAGTTACAGGAATGCACACTTGATTTTCCGCAGTTTCGAAAGTAGATTCTGAATAAATATCATATTAAATACCTAAAATTTTAATACTTACAAAAACGCAAACCTGTTTTTTCAGCAGTTTCCTTATAATTTTTTTTTTTCTGTACTTTTTAATGATATAACTTGGCAAGTTTTCACATACTTTGTTATAAACCTACTAAACGCAATGAGTGAAGTATATAATTTTCTATTAAAACTTGCCAAGTTATATCATTACAAAGTACAGAAAAAAAATGTTATAAGGAAACTGCTGAAAAAACAGGTTTGCGTTTTTGTAAGTATTAGACGTTTAGGTATTTAATATGATATTTATTCAGAATCTACTTTCCAAACTGCGGAAAATCAAGTGTGCATTCCTGTAACTATTTTTAACTGAGGTCTGTGTATGGAACTTGGTACTTATTTAGATCTCACTTCTTTTATAGGCGAAGCATTCCAATATTATCGAACTTGGCAGCCTTTCACATTTATGTTTTGGGTGGGATTTCATTTATTTTTGTAAGGTTTATTTTCTTTTTTTCTTATGATTAAGTTAGTTAAGGAAATGTCTCATTTATGCTAATTTTCAGATTTTTGAATATGGACTATGCTTCTTACAAAGAAATGGACTAGTTTTTTTTATAAAAATTTTCTACGTTTGCGTGGCAAGGGAAACTTTTTTGTTTTGTCATTTTGTATGCTGTCTTGTACGACTGACACGCTAGAGCGCATTGCCCATTCAATATCTTGGTTTTTTTCCACGTTTTCTATTTACTGATAAGCTTGCCAAGTCAGGGCGGTATAATGTACGTAGCCGGTTATATTCAATTTTTACTTTACTTTGACTAAATTACAAACCTTCGTAACGAATTTTAGGTCGGTACGACCATTGGAAGATATAGATAATTTTTTTGTTTTAGTTCGTTAGGGATATGAATTTACACCTTCATTATTTTTAAAACCGACACTCACTTGGCCATTTTCAGATTTTTTCCTTTACCTTGACCTAAAGACCTACCTCCATGCCAAATTTCAAGTCAATACTACCATTGGAAGTGGTCTAGGTTTTTGATGAGTGATTGAGTGAGTCAGTCAGTCAGTGAGTGTATAGTAAAAATAGCGATTTTCTGACGTCAATATCTCAAGACCTACAATAGGTACATTAATGAAATTTTGTATTTTAGATAAGCAAGTAGATCTCGACAGATACTAGAAATTTCATATGCGTAGATAAAATAGATTTTGAGTTATAGGTGGGTCGAACTTGGCCCGAAATGGTTCGTGTAATATAACCCACGGCCGGTGTGTCGGTTCTTTGCTCGAACTTGGCGGACACACTGCCGTGTGTCTAGATTATAATCTAGACTGACAATTCGTCCTCTATGATAATATCCAACTGTATCACTCACTATGTCATATTTTTATCAAAGGCTTATCCTGACCAGCGTACACCTGTCTTTTCTCGTGGTAAAAAGTGGGGCTCTCACTAGTGCCTGACCACCCCAACTAATCGCTTAATTCTTTAGCGTCAGACGTTATACATACGGACTAAGTCGTTAATATCTAGTAAGGGTAATTTTAGGTATAATAAGGATTGATCTTGCAATTAATTGTGTGCGTCACTTATCAGCATCACATTTTACAGCGTCATTAAAATAGGTTCAACGGTCAAGCCATGAAATAAATAACCATCAATTTGAGTGAAACATCATGTTTTAATACGTATCGTCATTGTAAGACTTTGACAGCCGATCTGGCGCAGTGGTTAGTATGCCTGCCTGCCACGCAAAGGTTCCGGGTTCAATTCCCGGTGGGGTCACTCACAAAGTTGATATTTATCACTTTGTGAATTTGTTCCCAGTCTGGTTAGGATATTGCAGGCTGAACCACCTGATTGTCCGCAAGTAAGATGGTTCCGTGCTTCGGATGGGCACGTTAAGCCGTCGGTCCCGGTTGCTCTCTATGATTGTGGTCGTTACACAACTACTTACAGTAGGCGGTTGAAAAACTCTGACACTAGGGTTCATCGGGTTAATTTTCTCGACATGCGTTATACAAATAAACCATCCTCTTGAATCTATTACATATAACTGCGTCAAAATCCGTTGCGTAGTTTAGGAGTAGTTAGCGAATTCTACGACAGACAGAAACGCAAAAAGCGACTTTATTTTATACTATGTATTGATTATTGTAGGTAGGTATTGTTACGTAATAGATTTACTTATAGACTAAACCGGTTTGAACCTATCTAGATCGTGTCTGTGATATTAGTATTTGAAGTCATAAAATCAGTTGCAGTCTATAAACGTAACGATTGAAAATAAATATTGAACAATGGATGAATCGTTAATATTTATTTGGGCAGCGAACTGTTTGCATTTTGCAATGATGATAGGTAGATAAATAAACAATAGAGACAACTTAAAGAGTTATGTATTTATATACTAGCCGTGTGGTGCCGGCTTAGAATAGCATCACCCCATATCTTTCCCGTGGGTGTCGTAAGCAGCGAGTAAGTATTTGAGAGATGATGTGTATTGCAATTTTGTCAGGCTGACAACCAGTGACTATGGTGGTATTGATATTAACCGGGACCAACTTGTTTTGCGGACAATCAGGTGGTTCAGCCTGCAATGTCCAGACCAGACTGGGAACAAATTTACAAAGTGATAAATATCAACTTTGTGAGTGACCCTACCAGGAATTGAACCCGGAACCTTCTGACTGCGGCGCAGGCAGTCGTACTAACCACTGCGCCACATCGGGTCAAAAAGCTACAGCTCTCAAAAAGTGCTTTTCAAATTGGGCCAACTTTAGTTAGTACATTGACTACTGTGGGTGATGATGCTGCGCATACCATGCCCGTTGACCGTATAACGTCCGTGTCCGTGTCTGACCGTGAAGTAAAAGGTGCGAGCGTGACGCAATTTTTTAATCGTAGTAAATTAAATACTACTTCCGAGTATATTCCCTGCATGCTTCTCTATGTATTTGTTGAACATGCGATATGTGAAGTAGAAGCACAGTGGAATTATTTGTAGGGACATCATATTAGCCTATAGCACGTAGCCTTCGTCCAGGTCATTCAGGGTACGCCATCATATACGTGATCTCGTTTTTGCCTCCAGTCACTACAGTACGCGAACAAGTTCATGATAGTACGTTAGAATTTCTATACAAAAAAATTTTGGGAGTTCCCGTGCGTGTTCCAGGTCGGTTCCGCTTTGGAAACTAATCTTTAGGCTTTTCTTTACCTATGCCGAGCCGGGGCTTTGCTGGCCTACTTACAAAAAAAAAATGGCAACCGTTTCAAAATTTTTTCACTGGGTAAAATTTTGTTATTTTGTAATAATTCAAAAATGGTAAGAGCTACAAATAACTATTGTACGGAAGATATGTTAAGCGTAAATTTCTGCATATGAATGTTATCAATAACTTTTTCATAATCCAATAGTTTGCGAGAAAAACGTAGCACAACATGGCAGTTTTTGCTGAAAACTCACAAATTCGAAAGTATAAAGTAAGTAGTGAAGTTGGGGATTAAGAGTTACTCGCTGTGTGGGTAGACCATGCTACAATATCCTGCCTGATATTTAGTAACAAGCTTTCCGCCCAGCGGTTTTACCCGCTGATATATTTTGAAGTAAACAAGTTAATTTTATACAAATTTTCGTCCCCTGTTTTACCACTTTAGGTGATGAATTTTTTGGAATCCTTTCTTGATATTAATTAAGATTATTCAAATAACCTCTGTGCAAAATTTCAGGGTCCTAGGTCCAGTAGTATTGCCTGTGCGTGGTATAAAATTTGTATGAAAAAAGTAGAGATTGTTCGTTGTTGCCACATTTTGTTCTTTTTTGCTATCCTAACAGGACCTTGGGTCAGAACTATTAAAGAACAGCCTCAAGGGATTGCAAAAAAATAAAAATGTGGCAACTACGAACAAATTTAATATTTTTTTTACAAATTGTAAATCTATGCACAGGCAATACCACTGGACCTAGGTTCTTGAAATTTTGCGCAGAGGTTATTTTGGTTGGGTGAATTAACACCAGGAAAGGAATTTAAGAAAATGATCTCATAAGGTGGTAAAACTCAGGGTGTAAATTGGCAAAAAATTTGCTTGTTTACTTGAATATATATTAGCGGGTAAAACCTCTGGGCAGAAAGCTTGTTACCAAGTATCAGTCAGGATACCGTAGCAAGGTCTACCCACACAGTAAGAAATTCTTAATCCCCAACTTCACTACTTAATTCATATTTTAGATTTGGTGAGTTTTTAGAAAAAACTGCCATGTATTAAAGCGTTTTTTTCGCAAACTATTAGATTATCAAAAAAGTTGTTAGAGCAAAGTTGTGCAGAAATTTACGCGTAACATTTCTTCTATACAATGTTCATTTATAGCACTTACCAATTTTGAGTTATTACAAAATAACAAAATTATGGCCAATAAAAAATGTTTGAAATGGCTGCCATTTTTTTTTTGTCAGTATGCTAGCAAGGCCCCGGCTCGAAATAGCTAAAGAATAGCCTAAAGATTCGTTTCCAAGGCGGGGCCAAACTTACAAACTAACTTACACGCGCGGGAACTCTCACTTAAGCGATCTTGCCTACTATGACCATCCTGAAATATCCATCCTCATATACGCATATAATAATACGCATCCTTGTCGCACACGCCATTGTCACTGCGAGTATGACAAGGAGCCATATTTCAGAATGGTCATGAAATCGTTCGCGTACTGTAGGTACTAGACGCTTTCTTCAAAGGGGTTGTAGGCAGGGATGTTATGGATATGAAATTTTGGTTACGGGTGCGGATATTGAAAAGTTATAGTATCGGTTTCGGGTCCGGATATAAAAACATTTCGGATTATCCGTAAGTTTCGGATATTTTCGGTTACGAATATTAAGTAAAAACAATACGATTCTAAAAGTCCATCACACTTAGTATTGGTAAATGTAAAAATATTGCTATTTATGACTAAACCACAAAATAAAACAGCTTTACTTGAGGCTTATTGAGGCAACGTCTTATTCCGAAATTAATCGAAACTTTTATTATCCGACTGCCTCAGAAGGAGGGTTATGTTTTTCGAGAGTATGTATGTATGTAAGTATGTATGTATGTGGACAAGAAAATTCTTTTTCACGGGCTACAGCCCAAACGGATAGTTGGATTTTGACATATGTGGTGTCGTTAGATTCGTCTCAGCAGCGCAAGTGACACTGGCTATATTAAAAAATTACCTATACTTACATTCAAGATGGCGGATTTTTACAGCAAAATACTATTTTAATATTACCGCAGTCGGGTTTTTTGTTTTTTAACACATCTTTTCCATTTCGGTTACGGTTACGGATATATTTTTATATCGGTTATCCAATAGTTTCGGTTATGGTTACGGAGCTCCATAACATGGTTGTAGGTATACGACGACGGTGGTAAATATGTTTTGCAGCTTTGCTATGTTTCGATCTGATACCCAAGTGGTGGCCATTAGGACTTATGGAAGGTGGAAGGAATGTCTATATGTTCTCTCAAATTAAGTCTAGAAACGCTAGTGCGCTTTAAGTGCTTCTAAGAAACATATTCTTCTGCAGATCAACTTATTATAATTTTTGTCTGAGTCAGCTCTGACCCAGTATCAAGCCAAGAGCAAATCTATTACGGATAATAAAGTATTTCCTTGAGAATTTGGAATTTGGTAAAACGACTTCTGATTGTCTCTGCAAATTCAACAAGCTCTACAATGACAAGGTGAATGCCTTTACGTACAAATATGACACACAAACTGGTTCGTTGACCTTGTAGGTCATATTTTTACAAAAGAATTACTCGCCTTTACAATTTCGATAAGAAACATTTTTATTTTCTTCAACTGGTCTGACAAGGATTTCTAAAAGTTGTAAATCTTAATAAAAATGAGTCGTTCGTTTGCCCTTGATTCTGATCGTAAGCCCTTTAGAGAAGAAATAAGAAAAGAACACTGGCAGCAGTGTTTTTCTCCTATAGTGACATTTGAATCCATATACGTTTTTTTTTACCACAAGACCACAGACTGCTTTTAATTTCTACTTAGTAGAGATTTCTAGGTACAACCTATTCAAGAAATCAAAGCTCATTTAAAGAAACAAAGGACAAGGAACGAATGAAGGAAAGGTTTTTTTTTATATATATTTTCTTATGTAATTGAAGGAAATAAATAACCTTAGAATTGAATAATTAAAACTACAGCCATACCATTAACATGCCATTAACTAATTAGTTTGTTTTGTTGTGAATAGTATAATGAACGAGAAATCAATCAAATGTTTATAATTCAAAGATAGCTATAGATAATTAGAAAGATAAATTCTTAAGGGAGGGCTTATAGAGAAGGTAGACATTCCTAACTACATAAAAACCTAAATATCTAAGGCCCCTCTGAGATACATAGATAGGTAAATTTGAAACATTGGTTTTAGTTTTACAAGTGTTCATGAATATTTAAATTGTGACCTGTGGTGTGGTGTGACGCCAATTTGTGAACGTATATCGATTGTTTTCATGTTGGGTTAACACGAAATCTGTCTCTTATCGACAAATTACACCAAAGTTATAGATAGGTATTACTGCTGCGAAATGGTTACATACATGCTACGTGCCTGCCTTTTGGTACAATAATACAAACGAATTATTCCCCTGTTTTCTTTTTTAATAATAATAATAATGCATGTAGAGCTATAATTCTCTTTTTTATTAAATTAAGGCATATTATACGGGGTGTTAGGGACGGTGTAACGAAAACTTTGCAGGCGTGCTCAGACCATGAAACTGAACAACTTTTACTATGGAGCCAATAGTGGGAAACGAAAAAAGTTTTCCGACCTCCCATACAAAGTCAGTCAGCTCATCGTGAATTTTGTATGGGAGGTCGGAATTTTTGTTTCGTTTCCCACCATTGGCTCCATAGTAAAAGTTGTTCAGATTGATGGTCTGATCATGCCTGCAAAGTTTTCGGTACACCGTCCCTAACACCCTGTATATGCCCCGATTTATAATAATTTTCGTAGAAATAGTTATAAAACTAAATAAATGCTTTTTTATTTTCTATAAAAGAAGAAAATTGCTCATATTATCTTCTCGTTCATATGTAGAGCGATATAGCTCTACATGCATTATTCGGAAAGAAAACAGAGGAATACGTTTGTATGAAATCTTGGCTCCAGGGATTACTTTTTGATATCAACTTGGCTGTAAGTTTTGTCTCTACCAATTTTTTATAATTAACCGTCATACAAAAAAAACGTGTCTAGACACTTTTTTGTGGTAAAGCCGTGTATGTTAAGCGATACTTACTTTTTTATATCACATTTAACGTGTGCATTTTATGCTATTCCTGTATTAAAAAAGGAAATACCATGGTTGTAATATCACCACTATATTAACTTACTTTATCACTGTTTCCACGCCATTTTTGAGTAACTTTGACACCGCGTCCTTTACACTGAGCACCGCACCGAACATTTCACACTCACATTGATAAACTTTATTTAAAAACGCTTCAATATTTTTATTAAAGTCTTAACTGAAAGCTCGCCGGGCGGGTACTGACATTTTACTCAAAATATAACACGGACTAAAGTCACAAAGTTTGAATAGTATCTACTTATTGTCTTGTAATTTATTTGGAATTCATTACGGTACAATTCGGCGGGTCCAAAATGTTTTGTTGTTTTTGTTTCGACTTCGTCTAAATAGTTCTAAGCACGTGTACTGACGAA